CCCCCCCCCCCTCCCGTATCCACCCCCGGTAATACTATGCATGACGGGTTAAAATTCTGAATCCCTCTCCATCCCCTGATGGCAAGTAAAAGCAACGGTAGAAGTAGCTCAAAGTTTTGGCAGTTAAACGCCGGAGTAAGAGAGACGAAGCGTAAAGAGCCCCGTGTACACCAGCTTGTGTCCTTGCATAATGCATGTTCCATCCAACGTCAAACTCCACTGCGGCCGATCCTCATTGGCCTTTTATTCTGCCAACTTCTGAGGGGATAAAATTGTACCCTATTAACTTCAGGGAAGAGGAAAGAATCGGGAGAAAAAAAAAGTTGAAAAAACACTGATTTCGGGGGTAAAGATCCAGTGGTAAAAGGATTTAGTTGCTCTTAACGAGACTTGTTTTATTATGAACACATTTGTTAACAGTTAATGCAGGGGATTAGTCGGTAAAAATCCTCGTTAACAACAACTAGACCCTTCAATTCTTTGTCGGAGATTACTTTAAATATCTCGGTAATTGTGGGATTTCGCAAAAAATGTCAAAAAACCTTTTTTGTTGGGAATTTTCGGATCTTCAAAAAAGACTTTATGACATTTTTTGGTAAATACATTAGTTTTCGAGATATTTTCAAAAACTTCTGAATGAAATTTTTTGATTTTTTGAAAACTAATTATTCTTTGCGTTTTTCAAGCGCATTTCATTCGTAAATTTAGTTTCCTCTCATCTTTCTTATTTTTTATGTACAGAATGACGCGATTTATGCAAAATATTTTGAAATTCCAAGCGGATTTATTGATTTTTTTTTCATTTATCATCTATTTTTACAGCGCATTTTCATAATCTTCATAAAAATCTTCCTCATTGCCGAATTTTTCTTAAATATTGATTGAAAATTTCTAGTGATCCGAAAGCAAGTGATTATTTCTGAAAATCAAATCTCGCAATGATTGAATTCCCAAGTTTATTCAACTGTGTAAAACATATATTTTCACAAATGTACGCTGTCACGAGCACTAGCATCTAATCTTTGATGTTGGTTTATGTTTCAGAAGTGAAGTTTATGGATGGGATGAGATGGAAAGCACCGAGTATGATGGTTGATTTATGAGTGGAGCCCGTGGGCATTAAACATGAGCGTTTCATCGTGCTTCAGGATGATTGAAAATCTTATTATTTTGGGTCTTGTTGGCCTTGTTGGAAGATCTCTCGCTTGGCCGAGTGATCCAGTGCCACATCTACACATCAAGCACCGTGAGTACATGAAATCCATCACCAAAATCATTATTATACTCTACTATTATCTCATAATACTCTCATCGTGATTTTAGTCCACTGTATGAGTGAACAGAATGAGAAATTCTGCCTTTTTTAAAATTTCGGATTTAGGAGCTCAATTATTTGAGCCCTTCTTTGCAAATATTCTCGTTTCAAAACCCCAGAAAAACCGTTATTTTAACAGAATAATTTTTGAAATATCGAAAAAAATCCATTTTCACTCTTTAACGTTTGAAAATTGAACCAATTCTTCTTTAAAAAATCTTGACAACAAGCATTACTGGAGAAATAAAAATTCCGCAATATTTCGTTATGTAGGGTTTCAAGCTAAATACCCCTTTTTGTTCAAATATCTCCGAAAGTAGACGGTGGAGAAGATTAGGGTAGGCACCATCAGATCCTATAAAAAATCCTAGTTCAACAAAATCATCTTCAAGATATCGAAAAAGTAATTTTTTACTCTTTAAAAATTCAACAAATTCTTCTTTAAAACCTCTACAACAAATATTATCAACTCGATAATTATTCTTATTGCCGCGTTTATAATGTTTCCACTCCATTTTTACGTATTTATAGATCATAATTATCGTTCACTAAATCAAAACCTATAAATAATCCTATTTTAACAAAATCATCTTTAAAATATCGAAAAAGTCGCCTTTCAATTTCAACGATGTTTTGTTAACATAAATAATAGATAAAACAATGGTCCGTTTGTATAGCATTCGCCCTAAGGCTTTTATATATATTTTACATGGAGTTTGCAGCTTTGTATTGATCATGATGTGTGCGGAAAATATTTGTTAGGAAAAAATGGGGTTTAAAAAGAAAAAAATCCTAAGTCGATTGTCCCTCTTTAAAAATTTAGCAAATTCTTCTTTAAGAATCTCGACAACAAATATTATTAGAAAACTTTATAGTGTAGTGAATTGGATCGGAAATTTCCCTGACTTTTCAATGAAATCGGAGAAGAAACTCGGGATAAGAATTTACCTCTGGAAAAGTTGAAAAAAACAAATAACAAAGAGAGGGTAATATAGGTCAAAAGTCCCCTCTTTTCCCATAGTTTTTTTTTCTGCTGTATACCGTAAAGATTATTCTCATTGTCGCATTTACATTGTTCCCATTTCATTTTCACATCTTTATGTATTTTTATATTCTTGAAAAAAAAAATGAGAAAAGAGAAATCCACGCCTTCCATGGAAGAGGAAACGGTACAGCAAATACCTCTCTCATTCTTTCGTCGAGTAAATCCCTTTGGAGCTCTACAGGTGTTTCGGATACAGCTCGCTCTAACGTTTACCCTCTTTTAGCCTGGCATATACATCTATACTATTGTGTATTTCTTTACTTCTTTGGATTATTTATTTTTTAATAATTCTTCATCCGATCATCTGCTTTTTCACGCACTGAATCCAAGGGCTCTTTGTCTGTTTTATTAAATTCATGGGTTATTGAAAAATTTCAGTGGAATATGAAATTGGCGCGAAAGCCGCTTTGTGAGAGGAGAATTGAAAAGTTCACGGTGATATTTGACAAAAGGACTTTTTAGCTTTTATCCATATTTTTTTTAGCTTTTTAATGGAGGAGGTAACTCTGCAGAGCCAGTTGAAATAAAATATTGAAAGGGTTACGAAGTTTTTTTTTAGACTGTCAATAAGCAGCTTCGCGTAATTTATTATTGACGCTGCTATTTTTGTGATAAATTTAATAATATAGTTTTTAATGCATTCAAGAGCGGGAATGAGGAATTTCCGGATGGAAAAAACGATAAATGAACTTTTATCAATTCAAAAAATCGGGGATTTTGGCGAGGGGCTGGTCACTTATCAATCGCGTGGCTCAGTGATTTCCAGAATGGGATTTCCTGTGATTTCTTCAATGATTTCTGTCATTTCGTAATAAGAATTGGAAATCATGATTTCTTTTGATTTTCCGTAATTTTCATGATTTGCAGTAGATTCTGATGATTTTTTGAGTGATTTTTTAAAATCACCAGAAATCATCAGAAATTTGAGTGATTTCTTAAAATAAAAAAATCATGATTTCAGGGCCAAAGTGGGGCATCTGTCGATAATCGCATATGGGTAAGATTCGGGAAACAAAAAGTTTAGAAGGTCATGAGGGTCAGACGGGATCGTGACTGAGCTCGAATACAAAATTTGAGTTTCACTTTTATCGATGGTTTCTAATTATTTCTGAAATCACTTGATTTCTTTATGATTTTTACTGGTTTCCGATGATTTCCAGAAGTCATTAGAAATTACTTCCGGAAATGGAAATCACTTGATTTCGAGTGATCTCTTATGATTTCTTCCTTGATTTCCAATCGAGCGGTACAGTGATTCCCTAAGTGATCAGCCCTTCGGATTTTGGAGAAATAAAACGTCCCATCCTTGACAATTAAATCATAGTGGTGCTATTTCTTCAAAATCCCTGATTTTCTAAATTAATTTACATCGCCTGGAGATGAATTAGTTTTTATAGAATGAACTTTTATTTTTTTTTTCAATTCCACTGTTAGGAAAAAATGTCAATTTCGTGGACAGTTGACCAGAAATTTCCAAGGAAGTGGCATTGCATTCGATTTTAATGAAAATTTAATGGAGTTTCACATTTCTTAACAGGAGGAAAACGAGGATTCCTCAATTTTTCAATTTGATCTTCAAGAGGAACATGAATATTTACTATCGAATTACAATTAATTGAAAATTCAAGCGTATATTTACCTGAATTTTCATGAATTTTATGAGTTTTTATGAAATAATTGACCTGAAATTTGATGTTTCCATTTATTTTTTCATAGATTTTCGAATTTCCAATGACGAAATCCCTGGAGAATTTAGTGGATCTGTAGTTTCCAAGAAAATTTTCAAACGTGTTTGTAATTATCCTAGGACCAATTTTTTTCGGCGAAAACTGCAGAAGATATTTTTGCAAAGAGCTAATTTGACATTTTCTTTCAGACTGTTGAATTTATTAGAAAATTTCAAATAATTTTGTCAATTTCAGTTCAATTATCCCATGGAAATTGATAGAAATTTTGTGAATTAAGTTAAATATATTCTTCAATCTTTAATTAATAGAAAATTCAGAGTAATTTGGTTCTTAATATTCAATTCAGTAGTGAAACAGTAAAAGGGTTTCACTACTGAAAGTCGATTTAGCCCTTCGCTAAGTTTTCGCTAAGTTTGAAACCGTTTCGCCGTTTCGCTACTGATTTCTATTTTATTAAAAATTCAAGTAAACTGGGGGAATCTTTTTGCTACACTGTTAAAAATTTTCGTCTGAATTTTCCGTGTCAAATTCCGGAAAGTTTTATCATGTTCAAGTTCCACCGAAATTTCAGGAAATCTTGTTATTGAATAATCAAATGTTCCATTGATTTTCTGTTCAAATAATCTGGAAATCAATTAAGTACTTGATTTTTCAGTTCCATTATTCTGTGAAAATTCAGGGAAAAATTGGAAATTCATGTCATTTTGATTCTGAATATTCATGTTCCGCTGAAAATTCAATCAAGTTGTGAAATTTCCATCTCACTCCCACTGAAAACTAATGAATTTCCGTGAATTTCCGTGAATTCTACTTAAAACTTGAAATTTCACGACCAATTTTTACCTAAATCCGATTCAATGTCACTCTCATAAGCTTTACTACAATATCTTTCATGAAATTTCAAAAAATTTCTAACTGTATTTCAAAATTCTGAATTACATTGAATTTCCAGTGCAATTTGAAATTCGCTATTACTTTCCCCCTGAGTCGAATTCAATGTCACTCTCCTAGAATTTTTTTTTTTTCACATCACAAACCTTTCCATTTACGAGAACTTCACATCTAATGTACATGAAAAAAAAACAATTCAATCCTGTGCATTTCCCAATAAAAAAAGTGATAAAACCTATCGAGCGACAACCCATAGATATTCTTTCATTGGATTCCGTGTGGGTAAAGTAGGTCGACAAGTTTACATTAGGACGAACGGAAGCTGTACACAATCGCCCATGTATCGCGTTTAAGTCACCGACTGTGTAACAGTGCGTCTCTAAGCTCCACTCGTTAGCCAACTGTTGTCGGAGTGAAGGTAAAACTTTCCCAACTTGGGTTGGTGCTGTTAGAGAGGAAAATTCAATCTCAATGTATTATGGCCAAGGGGGAAGGAAACCTGTGTAATACCCTGAGGTGAACACCTGTCCGATTGATCCGCTTCGCAGCACAATCGACGGTTATCAATCTATGTCATTTGGGTTATTAGGAATGATATTTCGAGATAGGACACCGCGCCGAGGGGATTATTGACATTTTAGAATGGAATGATTGTTATTGAACTTAAGAAATTCGTCTTTGTTCATAAAAAGAAAAATACGAAATTGATTTGAGATATCTTCGAAGGGGAGAGGTTTAGAGGAAAATGTGGAAAACAGGTTTTGTAACGAATTTCACGCTCTTCACAAAATATTTCCTCATGTTTTTTGCTAAATCTAGTTGTTTTCACGATATTTGCAAAATAATCTGTAAAGAACTTTTAAATTTCTCAACATGAGCCGTATTTAATTATGAATAATTCAAAATTGGTAGAGTGAAATTCGACATTTTTTGATCCATTTTAAAGGAATTTTTTGAAGCTTTAAAATGACACCTGGATTATCCCGATCGCACTGTAGGGTCACGAAATATTGATGAAAGGAGAAGATCCATTCTACAATAAAAATAATTCTACAGTAAAAATCATTTCGTTCCAATAAACATCGAATCAGTTGAATGTTCCCAGGATCAAATTGATTGATCTACTCAGTTCAAGTCTCACCATCCAGTTCAATTAATGCCCCAATAAAACCGCCGAAGAAAAAAACAAGCGCCCGGGATTGAATTGATTAAACACTCGATATAATACCGGAACATTGTCTACTCGAGTATTCTCTCAAGCTCCTCGAGCTCCCAATTCATTCGGATAAGCTGCAGTGATCAAGGCC